TTTCGAATTTGTATTAAACTTAAAGTCGCAAAAATATACTCGAAGATTTTCTCCGGAATTATTTTAAAAATATGGAACTCCATATCTCGATATAAGACCACTTTTCTCTCAGAGGTCGAAGGTTTCCTCCAGTCGAAAAAATCCAGACACGAAAATCTTGTTGGGGTTTTAAAATGCGTTTTATTTCTTACCATAGGCGACTGCTCGAACTTTTCATCCTACACGGCCCTGTTCCAACTTGTTTGGCTGCCAAATTCCAGTTTCGCTTGAAATCATTCAGGTCAGTTGCAGTTCCACCAACAATCAATTCGAAACTAACGAATTTAAATTGGCTCACTACTTGACTAGCCTATTGGTCCCAAGCAAACGATTAACGTATCCCATTCTAGTCGAAATTCTAGTACTACACTATGTTTGTTTTGATTTGCTTTGGATGTTTGACAGATAAAATGAGGGGTTAGTGGATTTTCATATGTTTCGAGGGGTGCAGAGATTAGCTTGGGACCGAAGATAGTACCAGAGCTGAGCCAAAAATTTGAGCACGTATCTTCGGGACCTTCTGGTCTTAGAGTTACCTCTATGGTTCCACCCTTTTTTCTTCAGTATGTGCTTCATAATTGACCAGTAATCCTCAATTGGCCTTAGTTCCATAGTATTGGCTGGATTCACTTCCTTGGGAACCACTGTGACGCCATTTTAACTGTACCACTGTTTGGTGGAATTTGAGTAGTGGCAGCTTGCCAAGTCCGGTCAGAATAGACGAGTGCACGGATGGATTTGAGTTTACTCGCTCGACAAAAAGTGACACAACAGCGGGGCCCTGTTTACTAAAAATGAACACATGAATAATACTCGCGTAGCATTTGAAACGGGCCTATCAACTTATGTACACAAAACTTGTTAAGCCTTTTTCGCGCGAACCGAATACGCCCACGCAAACTAACAACACCATCGGGTAGGAGAAATCCTCCCCTTCCCGATAGTGCTCTTGGTTTGCGTAAGCATACTTCGGTTCTCGTGAAAAGGACCTTGCAAGTTGTTTAGAAAAATTGATTATCCCCTTTCAAATGTTATGCGAGCATTATTCATGTGTTCATTTTTAGTAAACAAGGCCCGCTGTTGTGTCACTTTTTGTCGAGTGAGTGAACTCAAATCCATCCGTGCACTCGTCTATAGAGATTAGTGACGTTTACCGCACGCGCACTAGCGGAAGCAACGCCGTGTAAAGTTGTTTATTATTTTCCTCTGGCTAACCTAAAAAATGTATGAAGGTAGACCTGTCAAAATGAGTTTGACATCGATTTGTTATGTATTTTCCTCGGATATTCACTAACACGCTCTCACATATCGCACCAATACAACCAGACGTGAAAATCTCAATAGGCAATGCACCTCATGCTGCTCAAGAAAAAGCCGTAGACACTCCTCCTGGTAAATTTACTGGTTCATGGTCCCAGCAGTAACGAAACTTTCGCTTTTCAGCCTACAACTGCTGAATTTCGACTTTTTTTTGATCAACCGAGGTATAAAATTCCTGCCCGAGGAATTTGATCGAAAACTTCCAGGCAGTGCGTTTCGTCTTCTTTTTCTTCTTCATGCCTTTATTTATTGTCGGTCTCTGTTTCGCAATCTAGTGCCAATCACCAACGGACATCGATTGCCATCCATTAACGGCAATCGATTGTGCAAGAAGGCTGAGGCTTCCACCCCTGCGTATGACATCGCACCCATTCAACACACATGGGCCGGGACCAACGACTTTACTTCCCTTCCGACCAGAGATTTGCATGCCTCAGAAAAATCCCACCGATCTCGGCTGGGATTGACCTCAGACCCATTGGGGTGAGAAAGCAGTCATGATTACCATTACACCACCGAGCGTGCAAGATCGAATCGCGACGTGCTTGCTCCGGTGAAGCCATGTTGTAAACAAATGAACTCGACAGTGAGCATGCATAAGGGCGTATACACGATAATCGATTCACTTCATCGATTTCAACAAACAATTTTCTGGCATTTGTTCAATGTAGAGTTGTAACAGGTTGTATTGGCTATCAAAAGCAACAGCAAACGCACCGACAAACGTTAATTCTAGCGAGTTATTAACAAAAGAGAAAATTGACGAAGAGAATCGATCTTATGCATAGACGAGTGCACGGGTGAATTTTTGTTCATCTATTGAAAAAAATTGACATAACAGCGGGGCCCTGTTTACTACAAATGAACACATGAATAATGCTTGCGTAACATTTGAAAAGGGCCTATCAACTTTTGTCAACAATTTGCTAGGTCCTTTTCACGAGAACAGAAATACGCCCACCCAAACCAAGAGTACTACCGGGAATGGGAAAATTTAGTTTGCGTGGGAGTATTCAGTTTGCACGAAAAAGGCTTAACAAGTTTTGTGTACAAAAGTTGATAAGCCCGTTTCAAATGTAGCGAGTATTATTCATGTGTTCATTTTTAGTAAAAAGGGCCCTGCTGTTGTGTCACTTTTTGTCGAGTGAGTGAACTCAAATCCATCCGTGCACTCGTCTATGCTCACTGTCGAACTGATCCTGTCCAGAGTCGATGTTATAATAATAGCGAATTCGTTTTGATCCAGTTCCAACCTGGATCGGGTATCAAGATTGGGACTGCTTGTTTTCTGACAAACGTCAGTTTGCTCGGTTTTTTTAAAACCGACAAAAAGTTCGGTTTCGCACTGGGTTGGAACTGGTTCCAACTCCGATAATAAACGAATTCGCTATCCAGCTTTCCATGCTCGGTAATGGCGGCCTGTTTGTATGAATAAATGTATCCTTCACTGTGATTTTTGACACTAACTGGAGGGCGTATGTTGTTCCATTTTCTACTGTTCCTGGGAGAGGGAAAGGGAAGGGGTTGAAATTCGAACATCCAGATAGTGTCAAAAAGCACAGTGAAGGATACATTTATTCATACAAACAGGCCGCCATTACCGAGCATGGAAAGCTGGATAAGAGTCCCACCAAGAGAAAATGTTGCGAACAATCCAGCACTGTTTATGATTTATTTTTCGTCAGAGTAATACCAACCGGTGGAAACTAACGATTTTAAATTGGTTCACTACTTGACTAGCCTGTTGGTCACAAGCAAATCGATTAACGTATCCCATTGTAGTCGAAATTCTAGTACCACACTATGTTTGTTTCTGATTCTCTATGAAAGTTTGACAGATAAAATGAGGGGTTCGTGGATTTTCCTATGTTTCGAGGGGTGCATCGATTAGCTTGGGACCAAAGAGAGTACCAGAGCTGAGCCAAAAAGTTCAGCACGTTTCTTCGGGACCTTCTAGTCTTAGAGTTACCTCTATGGTATTACCATAGAGGTAGCTCTAAAACCAGAAGGTCCCGAAGAAACGTGCTGAACTTTTTGGCTCAGCTCTGGTACTCTCTTTGGTCCCAAGCTAATCGATGCACCCCTCGAAACATAGGAAAATCCACGAACACCTCAATTTCATTCAGAAGTGAAAATTTTCATGTCGATAACGAAACTTCTGGGAGACACAAACAATTACAGAACCTGAAAATTTTTCAAACAAGTGCTTGGTATAACTCATAAATACCACAATGTACTAAATAAAGCAAAGTAATGTTTTTCATCTAAATAGTAATGTTGCCAGTAATGAATGCAATACTTGTAGTTCACTGACTGTGGGAACAATACTGTTTATTTACTAAGTCTTTGCTTGTTTGGTACCCCGCTTGACAGTTCGATTGGTACTTCTGGCTTCACTCTTGGCGGGACTCTTATTAAAACATTGACTGTGATTAAAAATAAAAAAATATTAAAAATTGAAAAATATTACTCAAAAAATGCCTCGATCTTTAAGCTAATTTAATTTTAAATCTCAATCTCTCCTTACCTGTATGGTTCCATCAATACAGTGTGGGTCCAATTTTGGCAACACACCTCCAATGTTGTATGCAACGGGCTAAAGTGAACAAGCATCCATTTATTGAAGGAATATTATAGTACAAACTCTTTTTTGTTATCATTTTGAATGGTAGCTCTCAGTTTCATGTACAAATTTCTGGAATTTGACGGAAACGAGCCCAATCGGTGAATCAATTTTTCCAGAATGAATTCCAAAGAAAGCATTGGTCATCTTTTGTAAAATCCAATTAGCGATAAATTGATTGTAATGTTCGAAACTGCTTCTCAATGTTTAGACAATTATAGCCCTTTACTTAAATTTCACGATCACTAAGCATATCATAGATCAGTAACTTCGTTAAATATTTATAGGACATCTAAAAAATCAACAGTTCTTCTCATGAAAAACTATTTACAACCTTATCCTAGATAGTCTTTTAGCAAGTTTGCAACGTTGAGCAGTGTAGATTGTTATTTATTGAAAATTTTACACTAGTTAGACAATTTATAGTTAAAACTTTGAACTTTGTAGTGTAGTCATTGTTTTTATAGACTAATTTTGTTATAATTTTCCAACTGACGTGTGTTACACCGTTTGATCAATCCAAAGAACAACGAAGCTAACTAAAATGGAAGAATTGAGCAATATACATCAGCAAAACATTTTTTATGCAATCGAATCGAAAAGAAAAGAAAGTACACAACTTCAACAATAACATTGAAAAACACAATTGGCAAACGATAATTGGTATTGAACTAAGTAGTCAAATAAGCACAATTTCATAATTTTTATACTTAATATAAGAGAAACTTTCTCGTTTGGTTTTTATTTCATCGATTGTTGACTCACCTGATTCTGATTTTCTTTCTCAGTTGAATTAGTTTTTTTTTTATACTTTCCTACTTCCTATTGTTTTCGATTCTTCAGTTCCTTTGAAGGATCTTTCTCCATCCTTCCTGTTATGTTTGATCCTCCTCCTCCTCATCCAGTTACTTCTTCACCTTTCTTCTCTCTTTCTCTCTTTCTTCATCCGATTGGACTAATCCACCGAAGCAAATTGATTAAATCTGGCCATTTTTACTTTTTTCTTGTTTAATTGTAGGATCCCCGGTGTGGAAGCCTAGAGACATGATTAGTTTAGGTGATGCCCAGTCGACTTCGACCGCACGTAAAGATGATTCAAACAAGTAAACAGATTTAAGCACTAGCAAGCAAGCAAGCAAGCAAACGACATATATGTATGTAAACAAACAAAAAATACACACACATACACACACACAAAGTAGGCAGAGAAAGGGCAACGCGGCTGATTCGGCGCCAGAAATACCCCAAAGTGTTGGAAAAGAAAACAAACAATCCGTGGTCGCTACCGAGGGGCCTTTTGTCTGGCTATGTGGGAGTGTTTTGAAACTTGCTGCCGAATAATCTTACCAAGTTTGAGGGAAAAGGAAATCTGTTTCGAAATTTTATTCACTCTTGACACAGTTGTTTCTGAGCATTTCGAAAAAACCGAACCCGGTTCGCCGGCCAAGTGGAAGAAAGACAATTGTTTATTGTTATATGAAATTTTTCGCATCATATGACTGAGCGAGACGGAGCGTAACAAAACAAACATGTGGAAAATTTCAAATTCTAGTAAAGCAAGTAAATAATAAAACAAATTCTATGGATGATATTAGTAAAACAAAAGTGAATTTTTATGAGAGCAGAGCAAAACTTAGTGATAGTTTCTTATTGCAAGAGATAGTTAAGGATGAGCAAGTTTATGATTATTATTACTATTATAATTATAATTACAAGAAAGAAAAAGACCCGATGACAGATAATGATAACCACAGAGACACACTCACACAATGACAGAAATCGTAGCATAATGATTCGTACACTTGAATGTCAGTTAAAATATGTATTCTCGAGAGACAGATCTGATAATGAGAGCGAAAGATGACACTGTTTATTTTACTTTGTATTTCTGATACTTTTTAAACATTCAGAAAAGTAAAACAAGAAGTAATTGCAGCTATATTAGCAGTAACCGAACTTTTACCGCTAATGTTAAGAACGATGACAGATGTCAGTATTTGATTGTGAATTCCTACACCTTTGATTTTGAGAGTCGTAAAAATCGTTAGAAAAATAAATGAATGCAGTTATAAGTAATAACTTAAAACCTACAAGAAAGGGAATTGAATTTTATATATTGTATAATCGATTGGACACGTTTGAGCCCATTTAACGAGTTTGGCTATCTCCTAAAGTGGTCAAGAAATATTGAGTTTAGTGAAAGTCAAACCAACCCATTTTTGTGTTGCCACTCTTGATCAAAAATGAGGAAAGCAGAAAATTCGATAATCACTATCAATTAAACTAGTTAATTAAAGGTATTCCTAAATTGGTTCACGAATTTTTCTATAAACCTAGTGATTTTAGATACAATTGAAAGTAAACAATAAGAGCAAACGAAAAAAAAACACGTATACCTTTACCAACAGAGAACTAGAGTTCCCCTGGCAAAAATTTCAAAATTTTATTTGAAATTTTTAATCACTAACCAAACTTCTACACTTAAAAAAGTCAAACTACTTTCCAATCACACCAGGCCAAGGGTGACAGCACATGGCTCAAAACGAAAAAAAAAAGTTTAAGTAAAAATAAACACAAAACAAAACACTTAAAAGTAAAATTTAGGAAAAGTCTTGCAATCCGCAGAAGAAGAAAAAATCATAAACTATAGTTAAAATACGTATATTTCCTTTTACATAAAAAAAAGTAAACTAAAACAAGTAACAAAAACAGACAACTGCACGCGTTCTTTCCCTCACAGAAGTATTTATAAAAATATACATACAAAACAAATTGAAACATTATTAAAATTTAATAAGAAAAACTCAAACGAAAAATCGACAAAAACAATTGAGAAAATTCCACGACAACCATCTTTTAAAGACAAAGAAGAAGAAGAAGAAGAAAAATAAGAAGAGGAAGCGGCAACACTCAAGCAGCAGTAACGTTTAAAACGGAGGAAAACGATGTGTATTAGAATTATGCAATTGAAAATTTTGACGATAGTTTTAGTTATAGCAATCCCTAATTTTACCTCTGATTTTTGATAATTACTAATATGAGAAAATGATAAATAATCTGAAAGCGGGCACTTAAAGCAAAGCCTTGTCTATTTTCGATTGATTTTGTACTAAGTCAATACTTTCTCCAAAGAGAACCAAACCCAACTACATTATCAACACAGAAACACACACACACACATACACCCCCCGCAAACGAACCTGACTGCTGACTTTCCCCACCTTCGCCCGTCGAAGGTGAAGCAAATCAAGCAAGCAGCCCAAGATTGCGCTAGGAATAACACAATGATCGAAAAACTTTCTTATAAGAAAAACGAAGGAAAAAGACAAATTACCACGAAAAAAAAATTGTTACCCAATCAATAATCTATGGTTATCATACACAGAAGAAGAAAAATTATAAACAAAAATAAACTATAATTAATTCAGTGGTTCTTTATATGAAGAAAACACAAAATCACATTCAAAAAGTGAAACACAAGAAACGAACAAACAAAGCAAGGATCTTCATAAAGTCACCACAATCCTTCTTTTTCGCGATAAAATGAAGAAGAAAAATCACACATACACATAAACACCTAAACACAAATTACACACGAGTAAAAATTTAACTAAATCAACAAAGAAAAACTAAAAAGAAAACTAGACACGTATAGCCACTCACTACTTAAGAGAGAGAGAGAGAAAAAAAGAAAAATTATCAATCGATGCGACACCCCCTTCCCCCGTTTTTCGTTACTACACAAAAACACATACACACTTACTTTTAAGAATGAAGACACTCTAACAAATACACAACTACACACACTCACACAAATAGGATCAACCCTATGCAAAACGAAAGAGTATAATGAAAGAAACACAAAATTGTGCCAATTAAGAAAACAAAATCTGACAAGAGCGAAATTCAAAGAACAATGCATTGATCGATGTTTAAGTAACGTGTAGAGAGTGAATGGTGCAAAAAAAAAACGTCGTCGCGTGATGTGGATCTGTTTCTGCGGAGCGAAGGTTACATCGCAGTCAGATGGACACGGTGGAAGTAAGAAAATAGCAAAGAGCAAAAAAAAAACAAACTCGTTGAAAAATTCAGAAAAAAAAAATATGAAAACAATGATGATGATCAAGATGATGACGATGAAGAAAATGATAACGATGACGGTAATGCAGAAGACGAAAGAGAAGAAGAGGAAAACTGATTCTTGTTTATTTGTTTTGTAACTTTTTGAGATGTCTAAGTATTCAATAAATAAAATAATTATACACAAACACTAAGAGAGCGCACACAGGCTGGAATCCTTAAAATGGGTGGATATCACAGGTTGTCCAAAATGTTGAATGAAAAAGTTCAAGACGAACTTTTTTTTCTATTTTAAACACAGTAGAACAGTTCCACGCCAAATGACAAATCGGAAAAAAACTGGACTATCTCCGCATGAAACTTTGCATGATTGTGTGTTATGGGCAAGCATCCAAATTAAAAAAAAAAATCGGTATTTGGGACCCTGTATTTTTTTTTTAAATGGCGTCGTTGACATTTTCAATGAATTAAAGCACGAAAACGTCACTTCTGATAGAAATGACGTTTGAGACAAAGTTGTAGAGGACTCTCAATATCAATAACTGCCTCAATATTCTGTCAACGCTACAGCCGCTAGCGCGTCAATGAACCACACCACCATAACAACTGCCAGTACAACCTTTGCTACTACTCCTTTCATTCAACGCCCAGTGTCAAAGACATCTCGAATCATTGTTCCATCTGTACCATTCACATCCATCAGCCAACCGATCCAGTATCCAGCTGATAGACCTGTATTTAATAATCCTACGTCAGGTGAGAACACAAGGCAGTAGCATAAACACTTGATATAGTTTGGCAATCGCAGCGACACCACCGTCAGCAATGACGCTTATTAATAGTAGTAGGAATTTGTATAACCTTACAAAGTTTCAACCTCACGAAACAGAAGCAAACATTATCAATTATATTGCTCACCATACCCCCTTGTGAACCTACTCTAATAGCTTGCCATCGACTTATCCAAGGGGGCGACACATCTAAATCTCAATTCTAGCTGCTCAACAAATCTCACACTAGCGAATCAATCTTCGAAAAATCTTGTTTCATTTCTCGCATCTACTTGGATCACGCATCATTTTTTTGCAAGAAATCTTCAGAATCGTCATCAATCTTCTTTCTATCTACTCAGCGTACGCGCAGCTAACCACAGCAAAACACAATTTTTCCTGCATAGTAGATAAATTTGCCCCCCTTGGACTTATCCGCAGTGGTGAAGATAGACCATTGTCATTCTTGTCGTTCAAACTCAATGTTCCGTCTAATATTGAGTTAACTTTGCTTTCCGATGGCTTTTGTCCAAATAGAGTATCCATAACTTTTTTTTTACGTTGTACTACGTCTGTGATTTCTATATGGGGGTACACTTTGTGAAAACCAAAAATGGAACATGTAACAAAATTGTGAAAGATTTTGAACGTTAATAACTCAGCTGCCCCTGGACCAATTTCAATAGCTTTATTACCAATCGATCAGAAATATTTCTACGCATCGATAGCAACTAGGGGAAATGACGGCTACGGCATGACAGACTATTTTCGGCAACCGAAATTGAAACACTATTTTCACTGGATTTTCTTACGAAAACACTTCGCTGAATGAATGCAAACGATTCTTTATGCTTTCAGCTTCAATTTGACTATATTTTTACCACTGAGAAAAAGCAATCTAGCAAGGTTTTCTTGAAATGCAACACACGCACTACAAATTGTAGCTGATTTCGAGTTGCCGATAATAGAACAGCAGATTTACATGCAGTTCAAATGGAATGGTTGCCGAAGAAAAACTGGTTGCCGACAATACTCGCTCTCACTAGAGAAGATTGGAGCTTTGTAAAAGCGTTTCAAAACAGTTTTTGACAATTCTTTCGACTGAAATTGTTAGAGCAGCTGGCAGCAAAAGATTGTAAACAAACCAATACTGCATATGTGTGCGTTCCTTAGAGAAAAAGGCTATAGAAAGAAGGTCGCTGCTTAGGTTGCCGAGAATACGTAAATTCCCCTATCTAATTACATAATCTAAATACAATGCGAAAAGGGTGGATGCAATTGCGTAACATTTTGCCCACTCATCGCCATTTTCAGAACCACAAGCCTCCAACGACCACACAAAATGCTCTCCAGAGTTGTAATTTGTAATCATACTTCGAAGCAGGGGTACATCAGAGTCGATGTTATAATAAAAGTCCTGCCAAGAGAAAATGTTGCGAACAAGCAGCACTGTTTGTGATTTATTTATCATCAGAGTAAACGGCAACCAGATTTTTTGCGTTAGCATCGGATGACTTGCATTCAGAAGTGAAAAATTGCATGTCGATAACGGAGCTTCTGGGAGACAAAAACAATTATAGAACCTGAAAAAAGTGCAATCAAGTGCTTGCACAGCAAAAAAAAATGTAATATCGATCAATGTAATTCAAACTGATGTATGAAATAATGATTTATTAGCAAAAAGCAGATACAATATTACATCAATGGATGTAATATTGTTCGCAAAATTGATGTACATCGTACAACGTTATATTACACAACTGATGGATTGACCTGGTTGCAGCAGTTTGGATGTAATATTCAACAACTTTTTTTCTGTGTGGTATAACTTATAAATACCACAATGTAATAAATGAAACGGATGAAATGTTTTACAGCTATAATTACTAATATATTGTCAGTAATGAATGCAATATTTGTAGTTCACTGGTTGTGGGAACAATAATGTTTATTTACTTTGCTCGTTTGGTACCCCGCTTGACAGTTCGATTGGTACTTCTGGCTTCACTCTTGGCGGAACTCTTGTTATAACATTGACTTTGAGGTGCATGTGATTTCGATCGATTCTCTTCATCGACTTTCTGTTTCTTTAATAACTCGACGGCAAACACATTCATTGATACGTTTGTTTTTCTGGATGATAGAAGAGCATAGTAGAAATAGTGCGAAATAGGTTGGTAAAGCCATGGTCATCAAAAGAGGAAATCGATAAAGAGAATGGACTTTCACCTCTCTGGTTCTAAGCCCCTTAATTCAGTCGTCGTCATAGCAATGAAAACTAGCATCGCGAATATATTTTCTCTCGGTAAAATATTTTTGATGATTCCTGGAGGACTGATTTGGACGAAATAAGATCTATAACTAAAAAGTTTCATAATATGAAAGCTCCAGGTGATGATGGAATTATCTATATCCTCATCAAAAAACTCCCATAAAGTACCTACCTTGTCTTTCATGGTAAAATTATTTAACAGATGTTTTCATTTGGCATACTTTCCCGATAAATGGAAAAATGCAAAAGTTGTTCCAATTTTGAAGCCGGATAAAAATCCAGCTGAAACTTCTAGCTACCGTCCAATAAGTTTGCTTTCTTCAATAAGTAAACTTTTTCAAAAGATAATTTTAAATAGAATGATGCTTCACATCAAAACGAATTAATTTTTTGCAGATGAGCAGTTTGGATTTCGCCATGGGACAAGAGTTACCAATTTAATTCGTTCAAACAAATCTGAAGGCTGCTCAACTGGAGTTGCTCTTCTAGACATAGAAAAAGCATTCGACAGTGTTTAGCATGAAGGTTTGATTGCCAAATTGAAAAAGTTTAATTTTCCACTTTATATTATGAAATAAGTTTAAAATTATTTAACTGACAGAACTCTGCAGATAAATTATCAAAATATAAAATCTGATCGACTACCTGTTAGAGCAGAAGTTCCTCAGGGTAGCATTCTTGGGTCTATATTGTATAACATTTTCACTTTGGACTTCCCTGATTTGCCTCAGGGTTGCCACAAATCTTTGTTCGCCGATGACACAGACATTTCCGCTAAAAGAAGAAGTCTTTGTGTTATTTGCAGCAGACTGCAGAAAAGTTTAGACATTTTCTCTTCTTATTTACAAAAATGGAAGATTTCTCCCAACGCTTCCAAAACTCAACTTATAATATTTCCACATAAGCCTAGAGCTTCGTTTTTAAAACCTAGTAGTAGTCCCAGAGGGGGATGACTCTATCTACGATGCAGAAAAGATTGTGTTTTGCTGTGGCTAGCTGCACGTACGCTGGGATTTATGTCGATTTTGAAGATTTCCAGCAAAAAGATGCAAGTAGATAAGAGAAATGAAAGATGATTTTTCGAAGATAGTCACATAGTCACTATGAACGGAGTTCCAATTTCCAATTACTTGACCAAAAATTAACTTTTAAAGATCACATTGAGGGCATTCAAGCTAAATGTAAAAATATATAATATATTTGTATCCTCTTATAAACATGAAATCCAAACTTTGCCTGACGAATAAATTTCTAATATTTAAACAAGTTTTTAGATCGGTAATGCTTTACGCTGTGCCAATATGGTCTAGTTGTTGCACTAAAGGGTGATACGGTCAAAATTTGGTCATTATCAACTTGACGTATTTCTTTCAATTTTGCATTTAAAAAACCTGAACACCCCTCATTTTGAAGGTGTGTGTGTAGAATGTTGCTCCTATTTTGATTTTGGAATTCACTCTTCAGTTGTCAAAATGCCGTCCAAGCAAGAAGAGCAGCGTATCAAAATTTTGCTCGCGCATCGCGAAAATCCGAGCTACTCGCACGCAAAGTTGGCAAAATCGCTAAAAGTTGCCAAATCAACCGTTACAAATGTAATTAAAGTGTTTGGGGAACGTTTGTCGACAGCCAGGAAGTCTGGATCGGGGGGAAATCGAAAACCGGAAGCCGCTGAGACGACAAAGAGAGTTGCCGGTAGTTTCAAGCGAAACCCTAACCTCTCTCTCCGAGATGCCGCAAATAAGCTGGGTGTATCGTCTACAACCGTGCATCGAGCCAAAAAACGAGCCGGACTATCGACTTACAAGAAGGTAGTGACTCCAAATCGCGATGATAAACAAAATACGACGGCCAAAGCGCGATCCCGGAGGCTGTACACGACGATGCTGACGAAGTTTGACTGCGTGGTAATGGACGACGAAACCTACGTCAAAGCCGACTACAAGCAGCTTCCGGGACAGGAGTTTTATACGGCAAAAGGAAGGGGAAAGGTAGCAGATGTTTTCAAGCACATGAAACTGTCAAAGTTCGCAAAGAAATATCTGGTTTGGCAAGCCATCTGTACCTGTGGCTTGAAAAGCAGCATTTTCATAGCTTCCGGGACTGTCGACCAAGAAATTTACGTGAAAAAAAATTTAGAGTGTTTGAATAAACGTCTGCTGCCTTTCCTGAAGAAACACGGTTGTTCCATAGAGGTAACTCTAAGACCACTGGGTCCCGAAGAAAATCATTATTAATTTTGGCTCACTCAGTACCAGAACAACGGTCCCAAGCAGTCCCAAGCTATTTCACTCACCCCTGCATGTTCTGTATGAATCCACACACCCCTGATGTTATCTGTCAAACTTTCATAGCGAATCAAAACAAACATAGTGTAGTAATAGAATTTCAACTACAATAGGGTACGTTAATCGTTTGCTTGGGACCAATGGGTTACTAAAGTGGTGAGCCAATTTAAAATCGTTAGTTTCGTATTGATTGTTGGTTGTTCCGTACTGTTTTGGCCGGATTTGGCATCTTGCCATTACGGTAAAAAGGCCATGGAGTGGTACGCCGCCAACAACGTGCAGGTGGTTCCCAAGGACAAGAACCCTCCCAACACGCCAGAGCTCCGCCCAATTGAGAAATACTGGGCTATTGTCAAGCGGAACCTAAAGAAGACCAAAAAAAACTGCTGAGGGCGAGCAGCAGTTCAAGGCAAACTGGCTTTCTGCGGCGAAGAAGGTGGACAAGGTGGCTGTACAAAATCTGATGGCAGGGGTCAAGCGTAAGGCCCGGCAATTCGAATTTGGAAAAGCGGAAACCTAACTGAATATTTTTCCTGAATTTTATACTAATTGAACTTGAAAAAGAAATTTAATTTGATTTTTTAAATAAACGATTTCACCGATTTACACGCGTTTTCCCTTGACCAAATTTTGACCGTATCACCCTTTACCAGGAAAAAAAACCCTGCAAAGGATTCAAAACAAAGTTCTGAAGATGATTTTGAATTTGCCTCCCTGGTACAGTACTACCAACAATCAATACGAAACTAACGATTTTAAATTGGCACACTACTTGACTAGCCTATTGGTCCCAAGCAAACGATTAACGTATCCCATTCTAGTCAAAATTCTAGTACTACGCAATGTTTGTTTTGATTCGCTATGAAAGTATGACAGATAAAATGAGGGATTATTGGTTTTTCCTATGTTTCGAGGGGTGAATCGATTGCTTGGGATCGAAGAGAGTACCAGAGCTGAGCCAAAAAGTTGAGCACTTTATTTCGGGACTTTCTAGTCTTAGAGTTACCTCTATGGTACTACCATAGAGGTAACTCTAAGACCACTGGGTCCCGAAGAAAATCATTATTATTTTTGGCTCACTCAGTACCAGAACAACGGTCCCAAGCAGTCCCAAGCTATTTCACTCACCCCTGCATGTTCTGCATGAATCCACACACCCCTGATGTTATCTGTCAAACTTTCATAGCGAATCAAAACAAACATAGTGTAGTAATAGAATTTCAACTAGAATAGGGTACGTTAATCGTTTGCTTGGGACCAATAGGCTACTAAAGTGGTGAGCCAATTAAAAATCGTTAGTTTCGTATTGATTGTTGGTACTACCGAGGTACATATAATTTCGAATGTTGAGACTTTAGAACACATGTCTAACACAATCCTCAATTGCAACGCTTAATTCCCTTTATACTTAGATAAGATTTAGTTTTAGTTTTAAATTTTTAGACGACAATTGTTATACTGACATGCATGTATAGAAAACCAGTTAAAATGCAGGTATAGTAAAAACCAGTTTAAATTCAGAGTTGGTTGGAAATGCTAACATGAAGCTTTAGTGTGATAATTTATAAGCTAGAGAATGATCTTTAGAAGAGGGTAGGTGGATAGTTCCGTTAGAGTACGGCAGTATGAAAATTGAAAAGAAGTTGAAAATGAGCGAAGGGCCATTAATGCGACAGTTTTTTTTTAAAGTTAGACGCACATCTTTTGCCTAACCCGTACGATGTACGCGGAGACTTGAAGTATGTCTCCAAGTCTACAGGAAAAAACCCGAATTTATCCACCTATGGTGTGATCAGACCCTTCTTACTTATTCAAGTTTATTTATTTTATTGTCATTATCAGTGACCAAGCCCCCCACTCCCGTGTCATCCAGTGACGCTACGCCACTGCCTGGGGGTACCCGGAATATATCCGGGTGTAGTCTATTTGGTGAGGCTACCAATCACCTTATCATCGTATTTTAATGTGATTTAATGCGTTTTAATTCAATTCATATTCAAGCAACTTCCCCGGGGTACCCGGAACATGTCCAAGTGTGTCCAATGTGATCTGGAACACTTAACACGACTTGCATTGATCTTATTTTTGAATTCTGTAGTAATTTGATGTGTCGCATGATGGTTTTGATACGTTTTCCGTTAAATCCAGCGTGAAGGCCCATATTCACCGGATCTTATTCCGGCCATATCTCCGGAACCGGTTCACCGATTCCAAAACCGTTCAATAGCGTTCAATAGGACCCCAAGACCTATCATTTGGCGCCGAGTTTGTCCAAATCGGTTGAGCGGTTGCTGAGAAACGTGAGCGCATTCATTTCGTTACATACACACACACATACACACATACACACGTACACCCACACACAGACATGTTCCGATCTCGTCGAGCTGAGTCGAATGGTATATGACACTCGACCCTCCGGGCCTCGGATCGATAGTCGGTTTTTCAAGTGATATCTATACCCTTCTTTGTAAGAAGGGTAAAAATGTGCGTCCTTCTTTTGCGCATAAACTGACTGCGGCTGTGGAATAGTTCTAGCGACGTTTTCATCACTACCTAAAGCCCCACGTTGCGAGAGCATTTCCAGTCGATGGTGTGTTATAATGCAATTCTTCTTAACCCAACTATTGTGTTGCTCCTCTCGTCATGACCAACTTGGTAATCTCATAGAGAAGGCATTAGGGTGGTTGTTGCGTGCTGTATCATCATCAGGTTTGTTGACGGCTACTCCCGCCTTGAGTTGTTATATTCAAAGTGTTTTTATGTTACTTCATACGTGAAGTTAGCGATTTTCAGAGTTGGTTGGAAATGCTAACATGCAGCTTTAGTGTGATAATTTATTAACGTAGGGCTTTAGGTAGTGATGAAAACGTCGCTAGAACTATTCCACAGCCGCAGTCAGTTTATGAGCAAAACAAGGACGCACATTTTTTGCCTGTAGACTTGGAGACATACTTCAAGTCTCCGCGTACATCGTACGGGTTAGGCAAAAAATGTGCGTCTAACTTTAAAAAAAAACTGTCGCATTAATGGCCCTTCGCTCATTTTCAACTTCTTTTCAATTTTCATACTGCCGTACGCTAACGGAACTATCCACCTACCCTCTTCTAAAGAAGGTGATAAAAAATTTATCACAAATTCGGAAAAAAAGCTTAGTAAATTGCGAAGCAATTCGAGAGTTCCCATAATTTCAGATTGGATCTTACTAGTCCTATTGAGGATCAGGTTGCTCGGGATGATCTGAATATTTTGTCTCGGAAAAATATGTTTGATGATTCCTAGGGGAACTGATTTAGACGAATTAAGATCTATAACTAAAAAGTTTCAAAATATGAAAGCTCCAAGCTATATCCTCATAAAAAAATCTAAGAGAGTTGGAATAATTCCTATGTATGGAGTATGACCATTTATATTTTTGATTTAAATGAACAAAATTCGTGTCCGTGAACAATGCGTCATCTGGACGATAAAAATGGATATTGTAGGTTGCTAGTGAAAAATAGTAAAGAAAAGCTCTATTTCGAAATTTATGTACGGGCCCAATATTATAGGGACACTTAGGCCTGACGAGATAATAGGTAAATAAATGTCAAAGCCGTCATTTTCTCAATGAGTATAAAAAAAAATTGCAAAAGAAAATAACGGCAGCGGCGGGATTTGAACACATTTGGTGTGGGCTTCAGTTGCTGGATGGGGCTCGAAAATAGTGATGAGGACCAAATTGGGTACTCATAATTTTAATAAACCAGTACGGTAACAGTTAAACTTCAGATAACAAAATATTTATTCCAAAAAATATAACTAATAATCACTTGCTAAATTTGGATAATCTCAATCTCAATCATTCCACGTATGGCAAAAAAAAACATTTCCAACACGTAAATTTGTATACCTAGATACATTCGCCCTCGTAGCTCTAACCAAACCAGTGCGCTGCCATGCAGTCCCTGGTCCAAGCGGTCTGACAGACCCAGCACCATTCGTAGCTGCATCCAGATCGCGTGCAGACCATGTGCATGCATCCTCCGTCTCGTTCTGTCGCCGTTCGACACTGGGGACACGGTTTGGTGGTAACTTTGATAGCAATTTTGGAAGCTTCATCCCATCGCGCTTCGGACGCTCGCAGTGGATCGATGGTATAGTTCAGTGCGGCACCCGCATTTGGTTGCGGCGTTTCCAGACATTCTCCTATGTGGTAGCCCTGCAGGCAATTGCGACAGAAAACGAACTGAAACGAATCGAATAAGTGCATTTCGAAATGCGAAAAAAAACCATGAAGGACTTACACCACAGCCGTTCTGACATTGCACTCGTTTGCATTCCGCGTCAACGAGTAGACCCATTCCACAGCCGGGTTGGGGGCATAGCACCCCTCCATTTCTAAGAACATATTCCTCAGTAGCAAAGCGCTGGTACCGCTCATACTGTTCCTTCGACAGTAACTTGAAATGGTGTACATGTTCGATGTAGGAGCTCGCACAACCTACGGGACACTGTAGCGTATATCCACCGTTAGGATGTTCCAGAAATTGACGTTCCAGCAGTCTAGATATGCAGTACTGGCGGAAACAGTCCAGGCAAGTGACGTGACCTGCCTCACAGGGGAACACCAAGACGGTATCGCTGAAACGATTCAAATGTGCGATTGATTTGGCACCTAATTCATAGATGTTTCTATTAAGTTCGAGTCAATTACCTCGTATCCGTGCACGCGATACAGGGAATATCCTTATGGTTTGTCTTGATCAAGTTCAGCGGAGCAGCAAAGTCCGTCTCACCACCGGAAGAGTGCTCGGAACATTTGAAATAGAACTCGGTAAACGGTGGATCCCCCAGTTCGTTTTCCACACAAGGAATTTCATAGTTTTCGCAGTGTCCCGTAATGCGCTTCTTCTTCAAAACATCATCCCAACAGGCCGGATCCCGATGGACAGTAAAGGCACCGCTCTTGCAGATTCCGCACCGTACTCGCAGTTTGCCAGTACATACCTTTTCGCACTGGGAACAATACACGAAGAAATGTGCCTTCCTTCGTTCTCTGACCGGACTTCCTGACTTTTCGTTAACCTCCGTCATCTGGAGGTCGGTCAAAGTTTCACATAGTGGTTTTGTAGAAGCAAATTCCTCGGGACTTTCTTCTGAAATGGGTGTTTCCAGCATTGTTTTGCCATTGATTGCCGTTTTTGGCATCGTCCTAGCCTTGACCGCATGGATTATTGATTGCTGCCCTAGATCGCATTCCTGAAAGGACATCGAAAGATGACGCAACTCCATCCTTTGATCGGCTTCCGTACTTACACTAATGGTGATCGTATCGGATAGCTCCTTCCCGGCAAAGATAATCTTCAACTCGTCCGGAGCGAGCCCCAGCTGTGGGGCCACCATCTCCTTCACATCTTTGATGTCCATGTGCGGTTCCAGATCCACCGAGAGCGTATTTCCCGTATTGGTTTTCACATAGATGCTCAACGTATTGGAGAGCTTTTTCCGACCGAAAGAAAATATTGCCAACATGTTGTAAATTAAATTCTTCAAGTAGTTCACAAAGGCGAACATTTTCTTCTATAGGAACGCGACGCGACTTTTATCCATTCCACGGTAGAAATGTTGACGCGAATTTCGCGGAAAGTTCACAAATATTAATAGAAAATACAAAAATCGCAGTTCTTCCTGCCCGAATCAGCTGACAACGAAAACAAAAATAACACCAATTTGACGTTTCATCGATGTTCATTCGAAATGAACACCTACTGCCGTGTTACGCATGTTTCGCATGAACTAACTACAGTGAGATCGCTCTAAAACACGGACCAGACTCTTAATACCCATTTTTTTAAAACTGCAAAATTTTACTGGATTTCCGAGGTTAATCCATCCAAATTTTTTGTATGGAAAATACGGTTCGAACGAAAACAAGAACAAGGATGAATAAGGTTATTTCTAATAATTTATGAATTATTGACAATAATTACCTCTTGCTCCACAATGATTTTAAATTACCACTTATTGATTATTTATCAAATTCCTCTCCGCCCAGATGCCTTATTGGTTTATGGCCGCTTTTGGATTGGTCTTAGCACACATGAAAGTAGTTTAGTATTGATTATATCAGTGCTAACATTTGAAAACGGCACAAAAGCCATTTGTAAACAAATGGTTTGTGGGCCCTTTACTCACTACTTGAAGTACACCCACGCGACACAACAGCAACATCGGGTAGGGGAAATTTTCCCCTTCCTGACGATGCTGTTGGTTTGCGTGGGCGTTCTTCGGGTAGCGAGTAAAGGGCCCACAAACCATTTGTTTACAAATGGCTTTTGCGCCGTTTTCAAATGTTAGCACTGATATTTGATCCAAATAATAGAAAGAAGCATAGGCAGATTAGTAGGAAAACTAAACTAATATTATTATTATTGAGCAATGTTAGAGGGGGCATTCCCGAGCAAAGTCGGTTAACAAAATGAAAGCAAATCGATATTAAAGTGTGCAGTTCCTATCATAATGAAAACTCATTTTGATTTCAAATGTTGCGACATAAGTCTGATATCATATTGTGCTTTCATTATGCAGTCAAGACGTTTTAAATGAAAGCAACTTAACTTGAAGTTCTGCTGTTTACGTCTTGTTTAAAATTTAATTGAAATTCATCTGTCGTTGAACTAATGATTATCGTTTATCTGATTTGTTTAACACATTTTAGGTCATTCGTGACTTGCCCGCGGTGAGATTGGAGCCTAAGTCTTTTAGCTTGAGAAACATGAATGGTAACCATTTACTCTAGGCCCGTATTCAGTTAAACATTATGAATGCAAAATCAGTAATCAAATTGATTTCATTCAAAGCAGGATTAGTTTTCCGTTTGCTTCAACAGTGTAAAATTTGCTCTCATTTTTGCTGTGTTAACCGTTAAGTCAACCAAAATGAGATCAACTGGAGTATTCAAAATAAGTTACATCATAACAGCAAATTTTGATTTCAATTTGATCTTCAGCTTTGCTCGGGTTGAGCCTGGTCGCCAGTGTAATGTTGATGACCAAATACATGGAAGCTGCATTCAAATAGATAATCATGAGATGGCTCTTAGATAATGACTTATGCGAGTCGATTGAAATCATCCGAATATTAAAAAACGGTTAAGTTGATCCAACATAGAAGCGTAGATGCATCGGTGAAGGATAAGAAAAGGAGAGGCAAAGGTGTTGAAATAGAGAATTAGATATCGTCGATATTGAATGCGCATGTTTAAATAACGTTGATTAAGGTACCTATCGTAAAAATGTGCATATCATCTAGTTATGATGGTTGTCAACACTTACATTTCGATAAAGATGGTACTACCTATTTTACCTTTTTTTATTGTGATACCAACCATCACATAAGCCGACTTTGAAGCATCATTAACAATACACTCGTTCCGAGAAGAGCAGCAGCCATAAAAGTATGAACACTTTCGAAAAATTTCAGTGTCAGTTCCTTTACATTAACCTCCTCTGAATTGATGAGAAGAATTAAGTGTAGGAAAAATTCCAGTTCTTATTCTGTGCACAACATTCCTATAAAAAAAAATAATTCATTATTAATTAATTAACCTTTAAAATCCCAAAATACTTACCCACAATTTTCAGTATAACCAATAGAGTTCAGAAAGAATTTCTTGCAGACTTGTCGACTTTCTCCGTTTTCCCGACGTACGTTAAAAAATGTAGGTGTAGAATTTCCTAGGATTATGATCCGCAAAACGGTTCTTGCGCCGTTTCAGTACTGTCATACGCTTGACGTTTTCACGAATAAAGCCACGTTGTTCTTCAGCTTTAATCTTCCAGAACTGTGCATTAGAGTGATGCAAAATTTGAAATTTTCGCTCCACAATACTTAAACGATTCTAAATCAGATCCTGACTAACCTCTTAAAATTTGAACCCATTTGGTGAGAAATTGAGATGGCACAAACCATTTGGAGTTTGTATGGGAATTACTATGGTAAAACCAAGATTTTTGTTCATGTCTATCTAATAATTCACCATACCGGCCTGCTTCAAAAGCTTTCAACTGTGCTTGTAGGAAATTTTCCCAGCTACAACTTTGCTCAAGACCACGTTTTGATCAAATGCAAGGATCGAAAGTTATCAATGGTTCAATGTGCTGATGTCTTATGATCATGCTCAATCAACTGCTCACCAGGCAACATTGGTGTTTCTGGGGCGTTGAATAGGACACAAAAATCATGGCAGTATTCACTCGGCTGTCGACAGAAGCAGACCACTCTTAGGCTGTGAACCATTTGGTGGGTTATTTTAACTTTTGGTTAAAATTTGACACATGAAAAGTTATCGATTAACCCTGCTATCCGAGCGTGGCTACTTCTGACAGACAAGAAGTTAAATTTTGACAACCGTGGCTGAGTTCTTCTCGAAAACCGGTCGATCGACAGGACAGGGATTTTCGTACATAGAAAATAACTTTCGAAATGTCACTTTTAACCATGAGTTAAATTTAACTCGTGGTTAAAAGTGACATTTCGAAAGTTATTTTCTATGTTCGAAAATCACCGTGCTGTCGATCGACCGGTTTTTCGAGCCAAGGTTGTCAAAATTTAACTTCTTGTCTGTCAGAAATAACAACGCTCGGATAGCAGGGTTAATCAATAAATTTCCATCTGTCAAATTTTAACCAAAAGTTAAAAAAATCCACCAAATGGTTCAGAGCCTTAATGTGTGTCACGCGATCATCTGTTTACTCGGCAGCAACCATTGTGTGGTCCTCCTCATTGTTCTTCATCAGCAGTTCTTTCAGTTGATGCGTCGTCGACTTTGGAAAGCAACCGTTTCGTGATGAATGTGTGAGTGCTGACCACGTTTTGCGTCCATTGCTACAATGGAAGCGCTCTCAGCCTCGTTGGCGAATCTGCCATACAAGTAAACCACTGGAAGCGGCTCCCGTTCTGGTAGAGGAGGCTTATTGGATAGCGGAAGATAAAATGTTTATTGTGTTGTACCTTTTGACTATAGTTTTAAGATGTATTGTATAGTGAACAAGAATCCTCGGATCTGTAAAGTAAATTCGGTTGAGCCTTATCAAATAAATTATTTTTTTTTGTTTATTAATTTATTTGATAAGGCTCGAATTAACTTTACAGAGCCGAGGATTCTTGGTCACTATACAATACATCTTAAAACTATAGTCAAAAGGTACAACACAATAAACACTTTATCTTCCGCTATCCAAAAAGCCTCCTCCATCAGAACTGGAGCCGCTTCCAGTGGTTTCATTGTATGGCAAATTGTTGTACACCAACGAGGGTCAGAGCGCGTCCATTGCAGCAATGGACGCAAAACGTGGTCAGCACTCACACACTCATCACGAAACGGTTGCTTTCCAAAGTCGACGACGCATCGACCGAAAGAACTGCTGATGAAGAACAATGAGGAGGACCACACAATGGTTGCTGCCGAGAAAACAGACGATCGCGTAGCACACATCGAGAGTGGCCTGCTTTTGTCGACAGCCGAGTGAACACTGATATCAAATAAATTAATAATAATAAAAATCATAGACCTGTGCACGGGTGAACTTTAGTTCATCTACTGAAATTTTTTTGACACAACAGCGGGGCCCTGTTTACTAAAAATGAACACATGTATAATGCTAGCGTGACATTTGAAAAGGGCCTATCAACTTTTGTAAATAATTTGCTAGGCCCTTTTCATGAGAACCGAAGTACGCCCACGCACACCAAGAGCACTATCAGGAAGGGGAGAATTTCCTCTGCCCGATAGTGTTGTTAGTTTACGTGAGCGTATTCGGTTCGCGCGAAAAAGGCTTAACAAGTTTTGCGTACATAAGTTGATAGACCCGTTTCAAATGTTACGTGAGTATTATCCATGTGTTCATTTTTAGTAAACAGGGCCCCGCTGCTGTGTCACTTTTTGTCGAGTGAGTGAACTCAAATCCATCCGTGCACTCGTCTATGGCCAATGAGCTGGATTACAGAGGTGAAGCAATCGGTTAAGTTGTGTGAGTAAAACCCCTGTACGATACAAGCAATTAGTGACGTCACTACTTGCGTTTACGTTGATTTTTTGGTTTACTAATACAACAATATTTCACGATCTGCTTCACCTCTCTCTGTACCTCATTGGTCTATGGCTACTATGTCACACTGCAAAATACAGTGTTGCCTACAGAGCAGCTGCTTGATCATGTCATAAGTTTACCAATCTCTTAAATAATTAATAACATTTTCCTGTCTTGAAACATAGAAACGATTTTCGGCAGAGTTGTAGCTGAGAAAATGTTGTATAAGAATGGCTATCGAATTGTTTCGCAGCTCAATATGGAAAACATCTAGAAGACAATGAACAAAAAGTTAAGATTTCCCATAATAATTTACATGTAAACTTCAAATGGCTTGTGTGAAGTTTGTTTCTAACCAAATGAGTTGTAACTTTGAGAGGCTAATCAGAACCCGAATTGAAACCATTTAAGCACTGTGGAGCGAAAAAGTCAAATTTTGCATCAGTCTACTGAGCATGTTCATCTTTCAATATCATTCCATTGCAATCCTTACTACATCGTTAATAATGACAGCGAGAGAAATACGCCTATCTGTCAAGGATAAGCAAATAAGGTAGTGGAATTAAATGGAAATTACTAATCCTTCTCTCTCTCATTACACAGGTATTTCACTAAGACGCCCACATTCATCAGGATTCATCGTTAAGTTTTTTCGTCCCCGAAAAAACTGCCATCCGAATCCAACGTCTCGCTTCCAGAATCAAGCTCTGGGTTTGAAAACTCCGTCAGGGTCTGCACTTTTTAGCTACCATCACGATCTTGCCGAGATGCCGAACAAGGTTTCGGGAAAGATTTTGAACGTGATTCATGATCAAAACCAGTGAAAGACCCCAGCTCCGACGGAGATTCTGGAATAGGATTTTTCTGCCATTCTGCGACAGATTCCTCAGTTCCTCTTTTCTAGGTGAGGTGGCAAAGTTGATTCCGGAAGCTGTGAATGATCATTATCAGAACTTTTCTCAAGCCACCAAGGTTGGAACGGAAACCGTTCTGTTGCTAAATCTTAATCAAAACCGATGAATTCCTCATCGGAACTGTCTTCTTCACTGCAATAAACTTTTAGCAACTCCAACTCCGGCCATAAACATACTGTCTTCAACACTCCACTACTAAGCCCACCCACCAGCAGCAAGGTGCAAAAAGTGCAAACGAACGTGCTTGCTGCGCACCACTTGCCGCAATAACCAGAATATTGGATCTATAATTTGTTCAAAACCTCAGAAATTTCGTGATCACAGGAAAGGGAAAACATTGAAATTTCATAATCGAGACAAATTTTGAAAATAACGGACTTGAACGTCTATCTACGGAATTGAAAAAAAAAAAACTCAAAATATTACTGATTCCGTCAACGTTACTATTCTCCATCTCAGTCAAATTGATTTTGAATGAATCTTTTTAACACAATTTTTTTAACAAACCAAGGTGTGGTTAAATGTGAGTTTTGAAAGTCAAATTCTATACTCTCAACATTGGTCGTACAAAAATGACTTTTGTGACTTTTTGATGAAAAAAGTTACATTTTAGTGACAGACTTGAAAATAGTGACCAGCTACAAACCCTGCGAACTTCTCATTAGGTTCATCCCTTCCAACTGTCCCCAATCAACCCTCTAAACTTTCCTAGATTTTTATCGAACCTTCCGAGACGAAATTGCCGGATAACAAGAAAACATTGCTTAGAAGACGAAAGATTTTATCAAATTTATTGCACAATTCACATACTACTCCTAAAATCGAAAGCACTCGGAGTCACACACTACGTTTAGTTAAAAATTAAAAAGGCAATTCTTATATGATATTGACCAGAAGGTATCAAAATAGAACACAACATCCGGGATAGCTCAGCATCATTAATTACTTTTGCTGATGCTTGCTCTACTCGTCATCGTTGTAAATGTAGATGTAAGGATTGTTCTCCATCATCAGAATATCCTTCTCCAGTTCCTTCAGAGCTTTCTCCAATTTGGCTTTGCGGATCATTTTCGGCACAGTGTCAATCAACAGCGGAAGACTTTGGTATTCCCTCTGTAGGTTTTCCCAGTTTTTCTTCAAGCCCTGAAATTAAGAAAATGATTTCAAATGAAAATCCCTTACCAAGTGCTTTAGGGTTCGACCAGCTGACCTTCAACAGTTCCAATCGATCCTCTTGGGATATCGCCGAACAGGCAGGCTTCTCTTCAGCCATCTTGTCCAACACGCATTGCTTCTGCGCTTCCAGGTCCTTCTTGCGGCGGTGAAGGTACTGCGGGATCTTGCCGTACTTCGGTTGACACATGTAAACCGGTACCAGACCCGACTTTTCCAAATCATGAAAATCTCCCTTCCGGGTGTCCGCGTATCGCGGTCGAACCTTCTTGGGATTCGTACTAACCACCTTCTTGATGTTTTCGACCTTGAAGTCAACGCACTTCATCACCTGCTGCTGTGAGCCTGCCAGCTCATTTTTCTTGGGCACGGGAGGCTTGTGGCCGGCACATAGCCTAACCGGTGCCGATTTGGTAGCTCGAAAGCGGATACCGCAGTTCTTTTTGAGGAATTCGTCCGGTTTTTGCAGAGGAATTTTGGCAAAACCCATCGTCCGATGGGCATCCTTGCTGGACTTGGTCTCCCGACGGACTTGGTGCTCGAAGCGAGAGTGATATAGCGGTGGTTTCGGTGGACGTTCCGGAGGTTTCTTCTCCACGTTGTAGATGTTTTCGTTATGATGATAGATGTTGATAATGGACATGGTTGGAAGATCGTATGGCTGGACCGGAGGGACAAGTTTAATCCGCAACGGATGGAAGAGCACAATAATCTGACGAAAGTACTAGAAATCTACGGAGAACGAGTGTCAAACTATTTGTCGGAAATAAACAAAGGAATATGACCATAGCAACCGTTGACCGTGAAGTGTCCCAACACAATTGAGCCTGTTGTGGCAACGGCGAGACCTTCAGGTAGATGGTCGATTTGGCGGGAATGTGGACTGCGGACATGCGCGATAGACCGCCGGAAAGTGGTCAAGGTACCGAGGAGAATGTGTAACCGTTACATGGACATCGAAACTGGGTTCCGTTCGGCGCTTATTTCGCTTATCGGTTTTTATGACATCCAATTATGCAAACCAACCATCAATAAGCTCTTATCGTTGAGCTCGAGTGCCAATCGTTTGCATAAGACTGATAACGGGTGGAAAATTAGATTAGACGGAAAATGCCACCGCCAATCGATATAAACAAACGTGGAAAACTGTTCCCGATAGATGGATTCAGTTCAACCATGAAGACCTATCAATCGAGTACCACAACGTCCAGAAGGTCTTCCTCGGCTAAGGAAGCTACCAAGCGATCCAAGGCCAACCAACGGGAACGGAATCGGATGCATGGCCTGAACGACGCATTGGATCGTCTACGTCGGTGCGTCCTATTGCCGCAGCTATTCAACACATCCGTCAAGTGTGACCACACGGTACCGCAGAAGCTGTCCAAGATTGAAACGCTGCGTTTGGCGAGGAACTACATCTATGTTCTGAAGGAAGCGCTCAGGCAGAATCGCGCGTTAAGCCACGGAGAGCTGATGGACGCATTGTCCGTTCGCTTGAGTCAGAATACGTGCAGTTTGTTGAGGACACGCTTGAAGTTGGACGAAGAGCTGAGAGCTGGACTGTTGAAACCACGTTGCGAAAGGAATCTATGCTACTGCCGGTGCAATGAATCGACCAGCTATGCGTGCTGCAGCATCGACGGTGGAAACCGAACCGTGAAAGAGGCGAGAATCAGTACACCCACGCTGTACGAGTATATGGACGAGTACTGTACCTGTGCGGCAGAGGAACTTTACTTGCATAGCATGTAGATTGTAATAAACTTGTCAATTGTTTATGCCTGACGCAAAATTAGTAGATCAATTCGTTAGACCGATTACCCAATCATGGTGAGCAGCAAATCTCCGACTAGCAAATTCCCGGAATTTTGGAAATTTTATGTGGTTGTGCATTGCATATACATTTAAATTAAGCATACAACCGAATGCAGTTGAACTGAAAAGATCACTAGGTTAAATGGGTAATTACAACGACAGTAACATGTTTACTGGATCTTGAACTGACGACACGTTCGAAGTCTTCACATTTTGAGTATGAAACTTTGACCAAAACTTTGTTAGGTTTAGTAGATTGCTTTCAAGCGTTTCATTTATAATCATTTCCCTTTAAGAGTTTTTTTTTCAGTATCCTTCTAAAATAAATTTTAAATTTTCTTTGGGAGTCTATTGAAAACTTCTTTACAACAGTCCAGAAATTCGGCAGAACACTCCAAAAACTTCTTGAAATTCGTTGAAGTTTTTTTTTTAATTTACTTGAATTCGCCGTTGAATTTCCATTCAGTTGACCTCAGAATTCCCCTAATAAAAAATAACCATAAACGAACGGTAACCCAAATGATTGAACAATTCCACAAATGGTTTGGATGATGCCCCGAACACGTCGTTAAGCAAATTAACCATAACATTTTTATTAGGATCTCAACTTACAATTGAAAAGGATCTAACAGCTTTTGTTAACCAAATAATGACAGGATGGCCACTGAATTTAGGAACATAAATTTCTGGTTTTTCTCCGGTTACCCGTTAGTTTTCTCGGTTTCATATCAATAGCTACTTAGGGGAAAGCGGGGCAATATGGCTAATTGGGCTTAAAAATCAACTTATTGAACATATTTTATAAAAAATCTGTTGCAGGCTAAATGCTTGAAACCTACATACTTAGTTTTTTTTTTCAATCGAGCTCGGCTGTGCAAATCTTGGCAAAAAAAAAGTTTCACTGCTGAGCAAACATTTCATCTGTTTGCTAAGATTCATTATCCGAGACTCAGCAGTCAAATGTCACTTTTGCTGAAATCTCAGTGAAAGTTATTTTTGCCGAGCTCGGTAGTAACAACTAAGTGTGTACTTCAACTCAAGGGCGTGGCCAGGTTTCAAGCTAGGGAGGGGCGAAAAAAAATTACTATGGAAAATTTGGCCGAATGTCATTTTACCGAACGCCTTTTCCCCGAAAGCCTTCTATCGGTCGCTAAACTATCTAAATGAAAAGGTCTAACAAAATACTTTTCTCTACAGCAAATATTCGGAAAATGTTAGACTAGCTCAAAATCTCAAAACTGTTATAAAATTTCTGAATCAGAAAATAAGGTCTATCAGTAGTTTCCTATAACTTATCGTTGATATCCCTTCAGCAGCTTTATAAATGGTCACTGGTTTCTTATATGACACGATCTTTTTCTAGATTTTAATCTATCTATATACACCCATATTCTTGTTTTCGTTTGAACCGTATTTTCCATACAAAAAACTTTTTTTTTGTATGGAAAATACGGTTCGAACGAAAACAAGAATATCTATATATATTTATATAAATGAATTTCTGTCTGTCTGTCTGTCTGTCTGTCTGTCTGACCCTTATAGACTCGGAAACTACTGAACCGATTGGCGTGAAAATTTGTATACAGGGGTTTTTGGGGCCGTGGAAGGTTCTTATGATGGTTCGAGACCCCTCCCCCTTCTGTAAGGGGGGGGGCTTCCATACAAATGAAACAGAAATTTCTGCATAACTCGAGAACTAATCAAGCAAATGGAACCAAATTAGGCATGTGGGGGCGAGTGTGGGGGTATAAGGAGATAATCATAGGGGGTAGCCCCTAAGATAATAGGAGGAGGGGGCTACGTACAATATAGCTTGCTTTTTTTTAAATCGGCGCATAAACTCAAGCTAATATTGAATCCCGAGCAAGACCGGGCACACTCAGCTAGTGGGTGATAAAAATGAATTTCTGTCTGTCTGTCTGACCCTTATAGACTCGGAAACTACTGAACCGATCGGCGTGAAAATTTGTATGCAGAGGTTTTTGGGGTAGGGAAAGGATCTTATGATGATTCGAGACCCCTCCCCCTCTGTAGGGGGGCTCTTATACAAATTAAACAGAAATTTCTGCATAACTCGAGAACTAATCAAGCAAATGGAACCAAATTTGGCAAGTGGATGTCATAGAGGGTAGCCCCTTAGATAAGAGGGGGGCTACGTACAATATAGCATGCTTCTTTTTTTTATTGGCGCATAAACTCAAGCTTATATTGATTCCCTACCAAGGCCGGGCACACTCAGACAGTAAACAATAAAGATTTTCTTAACACTGATGTTTCAACTTAAATTCTTCAATTTTGCATTATTCTTTTCATGAATACGACTGTATTTTATGAAAACACGTTTTGAAACAGCTGCTTTGATAAAAAAATCAGACTGAAAAAATATAGCCTTAAATAGAAAGCACTTCTGAAATTTAATTTATTCTACAGAAAATAAATGTTTCTGTTAAATCTTTTTATTCGAAAACTGTTCATTGTTGACCCTTCATAAAGCCTCAAGAGAACATAATATTCTTACCCGTTGTTTATAAGGTCGCTCATACCACCTAAACAGGGTGCTCATTTTTCCCCAATGGTTTAATTTCGGTTACTAAACGAAAATTTTTAAATCTTCTTGTATAAGATTCCAAATTTTACTTTTAATATTCAATTTGTATTCATGAATGTAAATAGGGCTTGAAACTATCCATTTGGTTAAACATCATTTGAATTTTCAATTAAATTTTGTATGATTAGTGATGATTTTCTTAAGGTGGCCAAACTGCCCCACTTTCCCCTATAATAAAAAGGAATGTGTACTCCAAAAGGCACCAAGATTGCATCAAATTGTCAAATATGGTCCCATAATTTAAATAAATTAGTAAGACATAAGACCGAAATTTTAATAGTTTTTAAGAGTATCGGAATTTAGAAATTTCTCTAGATTACCACCCCTATTCTGTATTTCGTTCAAAATGATATTCCTATACAAAAAAATTTTTTTTTTTGTAAGAGAATTTCGTTTCGCACGAAATGCAGAATAGGGGTGTACATGTAATTTTCTTCGACCAACCCAGCCGGTCATTGGACCGAATGATAAATTGAACTTGGAAATTAAATTAAAAAAAAAGATCCAATGAATAACATTGAATCTCAGAAAATTTTAAGATTTTAAGACTAGACCAGATTTTCAATTTATTTTTTATTTTTAGATTTCAGAGGATATTCTAGAGGTAATTCTAAAAAAAATCTGAGGAGAAGCTCCAGGTAATTTTGAGAAGTATTTCAAGAAAATTGTAAGGAGAAATAAAGGTAAATTCCAAGGTAAATCTGAAGAGACTTTTACGGGGATTGTGAGGAGAATTCCAGAGAAGTCTAGAACAATGCAAAGAGATTTTTGAGCATATTTTTAAAGAATTCTGAGTAGCGTTCCAGGAAGATTTAGAAGAATGTTCTAAGAGAATTTCGAGAAGAATTCTAAGGGAATGGATTCCTCAGAATAATTTCAAGGACATTCTAAGTTGTTCTGTCAAATGATTTTAAGGAGAGTTTCAAGAGAATACTGAGAATTAATTCTGATGGGACCTCCAAGATAATTTTGGGACAATACTTTGGGAAACCTCGGATGAATTCCAGGAGCATCCTGAGAATACTGACTACATAAGAAACTTCAGAATTTAAGAAATTACGAGAATGCCGAAGTAAGGAATGAATTTTTATTTTTTCTTTATTTAGGAGATTTTTAGCCGTAGGCTAGTTCATCTCCGTGGGAATGAAAAAGTATTCTATGATTTTAAAAGTTACAAATTTATTAAAACTTTTGAGATATCGAAGTTCATCAAAACTCAAGTGCCTGAGGCTTGATATTTTTGGTAGGATTCTCGCTGCAATTATTTAGAACAATTCTAGATAGAGCTGGAATTAGAACGGAACAGCTTTTGTGAAAAATGACTTCTCTCGATGATTTCTCAAAATCGACATCACCATCGAGTAGGGGATGTCTTCCCCTACTCGATGAATATATTGGTTTGTGTAGGCATGCCTTGAAGTCCTAGAAAGCAACTAGAGAAGTCATTGTTTACAACGGCTGTTACGCCCTAATTCCAACTCTATCTGTATGGATTTCACAAACAACCTTGGAACTCCATGGGTGCTCAACCAAAATGTCAGTTGAGCATCTCATAATAAATTGTCCTGCACATCAAATCTTCCGAGACCAATACGGTATCGGTCTCAGCGTCAGAGACGCATTATCCAATGACCCAGACAGGGAAAGATCACTTCTCGACTTCCTTAAAGACACCGGCTATTATCTATCTACGTAGAACCCCGCAACGAACAATGACACGACAACGGACGAACAACGCCAGGCTTCTAAATGACATGACAAACGAAAGAACAACCCGCAGGCTTAACAATAAAAGTTTTTCCACAGATGGGTCAACCATAAATGCTTCCACTGGATTTGGTGTATTTAATCAATTTCATAGCGCCTCCTATAAACTGCAAAAACCATGCTCCGTATACGTTACGGAACTCACAGCCATGTTTTACACAGTAGAGCGAATTGCCTCACTACCTTCTGATAATTATTTCATTTTTACGGATAGTCTCATCGGAGGCTAGTCGTTCAACGAAGCCGATGAAGCACTCCTCGTATTTCCTGCCTGAAATACGATCTATACTATCACCTTAGCTTGGGTCCCATCTCATTGCTCAATTCCGGGTAATGAGAAAGCGGACTCGTAGGCCAAGGTGGGCGCTATGGAAGGCGATATTTTTGAACGACAAATTGCCTTCAACGAATTTTTCTCCATTGCTCGTCAGCAAGTCCTCATCAGTTGGCAACAAAAATGGAATGATGGTGATTTGAGAAGATTCTATTCTCCCACAGGTGTCGAACAAACCATGGTTCAAAGGGTTGGACATGAGCCGCGGCTTTATACGCTTTATGTCAAGGCTTATGTCCAATCACTGTTCGTTAGACTCGCATTTCTATCGAATAGGGCTCTCAGGCAGCAATTCATGTGCGTGTGACAGTGGTTATCATGATATCGAGCATGTTCCTTACACCGTCAGATCTGAGTTATCCACATCCCTCAGGGCCCGAGCAAAACAACCCGCGATATCCGTTAGAGATGTCTTGGCTAGCTGAGATTCCGATTATTTGAATTTAATGTATGTGTTTTTAAAACAGATAGATCTGAGGATTCAGTAGTTAGTGCCATCTTGTGTTCTCCCAAGTTGTTACCTGCCCATCGGTGCACCCCAATGTTTGTCTTTTTCATCAGTATGTCGCTTAGTTCGAGATCAAGAATACATTGCTCTCCAAACCTTGTTTTCAATCCCTACCCTGCCATCCATTTGTTACAGTTTGTTACCCCTAACCTCGAGATAGCCTGGAGTAATCGGTCCACGCTTAGTTAGTTTTAAGTAATTTTGTTATCTAAACAATGAATATCGGCTCTATAATAAAGGAAAAGAAGAAGAAGAACTCTATATAGAAATGACAAAGTCTTTTTCTTGACAAATGCATGAAACTCTGGGACATTGCAAACATTGTTTAGATCTCAGACTTAATTTTTGGTATCTAATACTAAGGGAAAGTTAAGAATTTCGAGTTTGAAGAAATATTCAATATGCCGAACTTTTTCTTAACAGAATTCAATTAATAAAGGCAACTAGGCAACAACAATCATATTTAAGGATCAAATCAAATTCGAGGTTATTTCCCGGCTGTTTTCGATTCCCAGTTGTCGTTCCGGTTTTCTCGGTAATACCCTTTTCCCGTAAACTTAAGCTCGCCAATGCAAACCAAAAACACCATCGTATCGTGTAGGATGAATTTTCCCGTCTATAATTGTCTTGGAAGTTTTGCCCAGAACTATGTCCGAGATCTCCCGTAAATTCTTCGGAAAATTCACTTTGAATTCTCCTTAAAATTATCTAATTTTTTTTAGATGCACTCCTCGGAATTTCCTTAAAAATTTTCGCAGAATTTCTTTTGGATGACACTCTCAAAATTCGATTCCCTTGGTATTTTTCACGAATCCTGGAATCCTCTTCACAATCGTCCTGGAACTGTTCACTGAGCTACTAAAAAATACTCTAAACTCACACATTTGACTTGGAGTTCTAGTTCAGAACTCTCGTAATCGAGTTCTTCCTTAAACTCCCTGGGAAATTTTCTCTTAAATACCTTGGTGATTTCTTTAAGGGGAAGCAGACCGCTCCGAAAAAAAAATTACGTTTTGATTTTTCTAAAAATATTGAAAAAAAAGTATCAAAAATCTAAAAAAATCACATTTTTTCTAATTTTTTAAAGAAATTCACGTGCAAAAACATGTTTTATAAGTCATTATGGCATAAAGTTGGACTCAAAAAACCACAAAACATCAACTTTTCGGTTTTTCTGAGTCCAATTTTTTTTCATGATGGGATAGAAAATTTTTTTTTTTTGCATGTAATTTTTGACAAAAATCTAAGGAAGAAACTGATTTTCTTGGATTTTTGATAATTTTTCCCAATATTTTTAGAAAAATAAAAACGTACCGAAAATATTTTTTTATTTTTGGGCCGGTGAGCTTCCCCTTAAATGACTGTGTTGTCAAGGTCCAAAATCATATTATCAATATCCCGTTCCACTGCTCACCCTGACCCATCAATGTTTTCTCTATACGTTTCGTTCCGACCAAAAAAAAAACAATCGATCCCGCTAGACGTACAATTCCTCTTGACTTTAATTTATGATCGTACTATCAAACGCTGTTTGTCCAATATACCGGCAGCGTTGACCAATCGGGTGAAAGATTGTTCTGGTTCTATTACTTAAAAATCAACGCATCATTCAGCACTACTACTAACACTGTCAACACACGCATACACTAGAGATGGATCCCACCTTCGTTACACATCCCGGAAGTAGCTACCCTTCGACGGGGCGCATTGGGAAAGAGGGAGATCTGTTTTAGCCGTGAGAATCAATCCAGGTTTCCAAAAGATCTCATCTGCCTCTCGGCTGCTTCGCAGCACCTTACATGTAGATGAAGTTGAACCTGTTGGGGCGAAATAAGTGTCGAAGTAGTTAATCAGCTGAAAAGGCGATTAGGAAATAACCAACTTACCGGCACAGAGCCTGCGGCAGGGAGGATATTATCGGTCCATATCCTTGCGAGTTGTCATAGAGCTCAAACAGCGGAGCTGCCACTAGCTTGTAGTTCTTGGGTACGGCAAATAGCGCTGTTAGGGGAAATTATAAAGGAGATTAGTATCCCTGTAATGAAGGACAAAAACTGAGACTCAGTGAACCATTCTTATCAATCTAAATCCTAAAGAAAAAGGGGCGTTCTTTCCTTTTGAGCGATGCTATTATTACCTACACTTGTTGTACAGGCTTTCTCTATAAAAGCTACATGAAAGTACAATTTGGTAGAAAATTTCTTACAACGATTTACAAAAAGATGGGTACAAATTTGGCTGCTCCCATGATTATCGTTTTATAATCACAGTCGTATAAAATATAGAAGAACGTAAATTTATTATATCCTAGCTTGAGTATACATTCTTATTACACAATTACTTTTCTCAATTTAGTATAAGTCAGGTACAATATGTGCCGATACAATCAAGAACGAAAATTCTTGTTACATTCCAGTTACAGTTCTCTTCTAATGCTTTTTCAATAAAATCTACTTATTGACAAAAGAGATCTAGAATGCGACAAACGACGGAAGAAGTTTGCTTTGTCGATAAAAAAACATAAATTGAAGGAAAAGCTTTACAATCGGCTAGCTTCGACAGGACTTTCGAATTACAAATCAGTTTCTAAGTAGGTGAATTTCAATAGTTTCATTCCTAACCATAAAGATTCTAAACAGTTTTTTTCTGAGTTCTGATTGAGATAAGATAACAATTCAATTTAAATGTGAATAAGTTGATAGCTTTTTTTTAATTAAAAAAAAAACAACTTTATCGAAACTGTCATTTGATTGGAGTATTCCCTGAACAATAAAGCGGAAACGTTCTGCCGTACCAATTTACAAAATTAGAAATAAATAGAACAGCAAAATGTGGCAAAACAATTGGTTGCGTGAACGTTTCCCCTTGACATCAAATAAAATATTATTCTACTACTTTTTAAACACCGCGCCAGCACCATATTCTGAACATTCGCATAGCTTCGACTTACCTAATTTAATACCTGACTAGGCGGGGGAGGGGGAAGGGCATAATGAGCACCTTAAGCAATATACACATTTTTTTTGAGACTTAATAAATAACATTTAATATTTTAGGTTTCTATATGATGCTTTTCGTTGCTGATCTGATGATTAAATGTGTGAAATAAGTTGATTTGGACATTCAAAAATTCCTTTATTCATATTGGTTGACAATGTTCACATATTTTAGAGATACGTGGTGTGTTGAGCACCCCCGGGGGCATAATGAGCATAACTGCAAAAACGAATAGAGGTGGTACTTTTTAATATTGTATGTGCTCTAATGATAAGTAAACAATTCATAAACCTATAAGGATGGAAGAATCGTTTTGTTTTAGACTACAAAAAAAAGATAAAGATTAAATTCTTATGAAAAAACACAATGGTTGCAATTGCCATTATTGTAGCCACCCTTTCTTCCATCTCTGGACTATTTTTTTATGTGCCCATTTCGCCCCGTCTAGAACAATTATACTTAACTCATTATACGTAAAATACATACGAAATACTGTTCGTCACAGGGGGCCTTATTACGGGTATCACGGTGATAAGGAAGTGATACTCAGAATAAGAGCCGTGGTTGCCGTACAAATCAAATGGGAATCACTTCACCGTGACGACAAGTGACAAGTTTTCACCGTGAAGTGACATCCGTAATAGGGTAGAGAACTACTATGGCCTAATCGCCCATTTTGGGTCGAGCAGAAAACATCAAAGTTAACAAGTCAATTGTGCGTTTGGTACGATACTTTAGCTTATAAGCTAGGAAAGAAGTCAATGAGAACGCGTGATATGAAGGTTTGCACCCATTATTCCCATAAACAAAAGAAGCGCTCCGACCGAAACGATTTTTATCTTCATCCGATAGGCCGAAGTGAACTTATTGGCGTTTCAATGGCGTTACAATGCGTTAGGCCGAGTTTGGCGTTAGACTTTTAACAATATCTCAACGATTGGTTTCTCTTTATCAAATCTTAAGGTACGTACGGAAAGATAAATAAATTTGGAAGCCATCAGTAATAATAACATTCCGTTTGGTGCTAAACTGCGCTAGTTTAAGAAATACTAAGTGCGGGTTGTGCTTAATAGGCCGGAAATGGGGTAGTTAACCCTAAGCCCCAGGATGATCAACAACTAAATATTAATTGTTTGGATGCATAAATGACGTAGTATTTGAGGGGAGGGGGGGATTAAAATGATGTGACCGGTCATCTATTAGGTTTAGCAAAATATGCTACGAGAGGGAAGGGTGATCTAAAATTGATCAAAAATAAGCTACGTCATTCATGGATGGTCCCTTGTAAGAAATTAAATACCAAAATCTCGATGAATATTTCAAATGGTCCTATCTGCTTTGATCGATTCTCTTCATCGACTTTCTTTTTCGTCAATAACTCAGCTGCAAAACCTTTCCCTGTTGTATTTGACGTTTTGGACGCTAGAAAAGAACCTTCTTGATCAAACTAGATGGTAGAATTAGCGCGAAATCTGTTTGCATAGCAGTGGTTATGAAAAGAGAAAGTCGATGAAGAGAATCGATCAAAGCAGATAGGACCGTTTGAAATGTTCATCGAGAAATCCAAAAAAATAGTTACACGAACAGTGGAAAACAATTAAAGTTATTAGTTGAAAAGACGAGAATCATTCTTATATTTTGAATATTGCTTGTTTGCATTAGCGTACACGGAGAACAAATTATAGCAGACACAATTATTTTTCCGGTCAAAATAACTATCTTGTTCAATTGTTTTAGAGATAACCCGAAACTATAGTTGATTTGACTATATATAGAGGGCAACAACTATAGTCCATAGTTGGCTCCTCGGTTGGCTCAACTATATTTTTCAGTAGATGAACAAACGTCAAACTCCAAAATACAACTATGCTTTAGTTGATTCAAGAAAACTATTGTTAGGAAAGCAACATTTTACAATGTTTATTAAACGAACTGCTCTTCATTATCGACATATCAAGGAAGTTTGTTTTGCTTCTTTATCGATCTCAAAAACACAACTGCAAAATCATAAAAAAAAGTGACTAAGAACATTCATCTTAGATTTGAACCGTGTTCATCTGCGTGAGAGCCAGCTATCTTATCGCCTGCTCTACGCATCACAAGTTAAAAGTGTGTGGATTTATGATGATCACTTGAAACCAAAGTATATAAATAAATTACATTTGGCGGTTGTTATAATTGATCAAAGTTATAGTTGAATTGAGTATAAGATGAACAGTTGAATCTATTAGGTAGATATGATTGGGTTGACGGTCGAATTAATGTTGAAATAACTATAGGTTTCTTTCAAATAACAATATTTTTCCATGTGAAAGTAACTATTAGGATTGTTATCTTAACTTAACGAATTTGTTCTCCGTGTAGGGCAGGATGGTGCAAAACGCGCCGTTTAAGCAAAATCGTCAATTGCTGGCGTGTGGAAGCTAAAATCAAGAAGAAAGTATGTTTTCTACGAAGATCAAGTGATTTCGTACTACAAAACGATGAATTATCATGATTTTCAAGGTATGTATTTTATAAATTGGTTCCAAAATGATAGCGGGGCAAAACGCCTGATTCATGGTGCAATATGCATTACAACATTGGGGTAAAATGCACCGCATGGTAGGCAAACCATATAACCCCTGCAAGTAGATAATGCAATGGGATGAGGTATTTCAAATGATTATTCCTTTATGTTACATCAGAAATAAGGTCTCAATAGAGTGTTAAGCTGTGATTCCTGAAGTAAAACATCTAAAAAATATACGAAAAGTGAATGCGTTATTTTTTTTGCGATAAATGCGATAAAAGCTTAATTTGTAGTCGACGATTTTAACAACTGTGTCAATTGCACAAAATGCTATTATTAAAGGAATCAGTATGTCAATATATGATTTTATGATGAAGAATTATTTGTGAAACCTCCAGTTGAAAACAAACACAATCCGTTACCCGTAAAATGCATCTGAGGAAAAGTTATTACTGTTTTTCTATAAGTGGGCATTTTAACCCAGGGGTGCATTATGGGCTGTTCTCTCTTTCTGTGTAGTATTTTTTTTTCTCAAATAATGTTCTATATTAGACAAAAAGGGGATGCTCAAATCACTCCGTATGCTACTTATGCCCCTTCCCTCCCTACCTGTGTGAAACTGTACGAATGATTAAAGTAATTAAGTCGCCCTTGTAAGATTTTTTTTCATTAGCGGAAACGAATGCCTACACTCTCCTTTCCATGGTAGAACAGGTGATCCACTACTTTTCGGTCCGTTTCATGTTTGTTAATCTACCATTAACAAGTAGGTACTTATTTAAGCTTATTTGTGTGCTCAGAATTCAAGTGAGCCACTATTGAATAGCAATTAAAATACTATTGCTTTTAAACCAAAAAAATGTTTTAAAGGAGTTGATAATTTTGGACTGTATGGAGTATCTTATGCTCTAGCACTTCTTTCAGTAACATATTTTGCATCTAAAAACAAGGTTAAATTTTCTAGGAAGGAAAGAGCTACTTTTCTATGTTGTTTGAGTTTTTCCATAGTTGTTAATTAAGTTGTTTAGCTTCGAAAAAATATACCGATTTGTATACGTCATCTGATAGAGCTTCACTTTCTGAGCACAACGATATTTTTATCGATCCCGCAGACATTCATCTCGATTTTTAAATCAGTATTTAAATTTTTGATCGATGACACTAAATCTATTCGTTGACAGCTTGCTCCCATACAAAGTCCCACCAAGGGGCACTAAAATGGTGATTTTTGCTAATGTAATCGTACTTATTTAAAATAGTTCCAGTGTACCAAAATTGATGAAATTTTGGATTTCGGTTCCATTTTTTAATGCAGATAACGAATATGTATTTACCTCAATACCACTAAACAATTCAATTAAGGAGGTTAGAAGGAAAGGGGTGTAAGTGACTTTGCTCGATTCTCTTTCCTTAATAATTCAGCTGCAAACACATTCCTTGGTTCGTGTGCCATTCTGGATGCTAGATGAGAATCTCCTTTATCGAACTAGGG